CGGTGGATTCTACATTTTTACAGTAGGCAAACTGCAACTACGGCTATACATTGGTAGAGGCAAGAGGACGAAGGAAGTGGTACATACATTCCCTCCATTTATCCACTTTAGGGGCACGTCCATTAGGCATCACAACCTCCTCGGTCAAGTAGCTTTATTTTTCCACACTTAATTATCCACATTTTATAATCACAATGTTTGCACAGGTTTATGGATCCCGAGAAGCAGGGCTCCTTCCATAACGTTGTAAAATATTATTTTTTTTTGGGGTATTGATTAAGATTCTGTGTTTACATACTCAGAGAACAAAATGACCAAAGATTCCCTATTTTTTTTTCACTGGAAACTACCAAACTAAACATTTACCGTTTATTGAAAGCATTAGCAATGACTCGACCCAGCAGTAAATGTTGAAGTAACATCCCCCTTCCAACTTTGGTGATCCTCCAAAAGTGTGTCTTGCCAAAAGACAATTAGCAATTAAAATGACAGGACTTTTAAATTCCATGCGAAATTTGCCTAGGAAGTGCCTGTGACATTTGGAAATAACCTGCGTTTTCTACTGGCACATGCTGAGTCAGCAACAAAGTTAGAATGAGAGACAAACATGGGACATGGGTTCACGGAAGCCCCTCCGTGTTTTACATAGATTGACCAGAAGAAAATAGTATTTTTAATAGGCTAACTTTTGATCGCTAATAGTTTTACGATTTTTTTTACACCTACTCATTAGCATTTAAGTAGGCAGTTTAAGGACAATTAAGTGAAGAGTCTCGTGCAAGCTTCCCCTGGTCATGGCGCAATATTTGTCGCAAATTGAACAGACGACACTAATCCCCTCCTCCTCCTCCTCTACTCTCCTGATAACCACCTCATTTAAATGCTGCATCACAAGTTTCGAATCGGCCAGAGGGTTTGAAGCTGGAGGTCAATGGGTGACAACAAGGTCTTTCCATTACCCTTCCATCCCTCGCGACACTCTGGTTCACATCGTCAGAGTGGATTTGGATGTGGAACAAAACGACTGGGGCTATAATTGTTCAAAATGAGCACTTGTGAGAAAAACTACACATATAATTTTTCAGAATGGCATGTTCTTTACAGGGGAAGGGAGTGTGATGCGGACTTGGCTGTCGGTAGGATTAAAGCGAGTCCACATAACGACTAGGAGATTAACTGTAGGGTGATATCGTTATAATAATTTTAATTAATGCGTTTCTGCGAGCAGTGGCCTCAATTTCCCAAAACCTCGCCTTTCCTTATTCACAAGCAAATGCGTTTCCTTTTTTTGTTTTCAAGGATGCCTCGTGCCCACCAATGCCAGGTCACCATGCTTCTCGATCTCGGTGAAGATGCGATTGAGGTGAATGCGCACCAAGTAATGACTATCACCAAGCAACCACCTTGTGGCGCATTTTGTTTTGACAGAAGCACATCGCAAAGTTGGCGGTGGGACCGCAATTGCCGTACCATCGGCTAGGCGTCAGGTTGGAGGCCACGTGAAGCACAACCAAGGCCTAACTACGCCACTGCCTCACCCAAGGAATCGCTTCCACGCTGCAGTCGAAGGAAATAAAGATGCTCCCCTTAACTGCATGCAGCAAGGAAATAATGCAGAGGAAATGCCTTTTTTTTAAAAAATCACTAGATATTGCCACATTGGTGAAGTGGAAGACGGAGTTAGCAGTTTCTATCAAGTCACACCACAGGGAAGGTAGTGTTTGCTCATTCACGTCACCTCCTCGAAACAGTGGCCTGTCATTGGCAGGTTGTCGTGACACCCCCTGCCGGCATCGTGATTGGCCAGTCTGCTTGCCGCGCTTCTGTAGCAGCCCTCACCACCTCCGCATCAGTACCGGCAAGGTCTAAGACACGTAAGGTTTGGTGCTTGAATTTTATTGCTGCATGCTGTCTCACATTTACTGTCACCTACTCAACCGCTTTGGGCTGTCAATTTTTCCACCAGAATTTAGTTTAATTATGACCATATAGTTAAATTTTGCTGATCAACTGCAGTCTCAAGAGGAGGGGGTTCAATGTACTGCCTCGTGCCGCCTCAACGTCGATGCGATTGCATGAAAACCTAAAACCTAATTCCATTTCTATTTCCTCCAGCAACTCTTCCACAATGACGAGCAAGGTACTTCCCCTGCTGGCAGCCGATGGACCATTCATTTTTCGTCAACTTTTTGAATCAACCAGTTGCACATTCACGTACCTCATTGCCGATGCCGCGTCGAGACGGGCTGTCCTCATTGATCCAGTGCTGGAGACTGTCCAACGTGATGCCAAATTGGTAACTGCTCCGCACATCCTTTCTTTCATTTGTGCTACCGAGACGAGCTTCTACACTTCTAATAGGGGTATGCTTGTCTAGACAATGCTGTCTCCTTAACGACGGGCTCATTTTGGTTGACTAAAGCATAACACCGCGTTCAAGATATGGAACTTATGGAATTTGAAATCCTTTGTTGCCTCAAAAGGATCATCTCGAACTCCCCAAACTGAGGATGAGTTACCTAACAGGATAGACCGTGGATAGCCTTAAACTCTTCCTTCGTTTTAGTACTGTTGACTCAAAGGAAACCTCTGATGGTTCCAACAATTGCAAATCTGTCCTCCGTTTAATATCCGAGTGTAGGGGATTGAAGTGTTGCCACCTCTTCATCACTCTGCTACTCTCGAAAGCAATAAATTAAGTGATGCTTTGTTGTTGTTGTTGTTGTTGTTGTTGATGCACGTCTGACAACTCGTGTCCGGAGAAGCAGTAGCAAGTGGTGGCCATCAAGACGACTGTGTCACCCTCGATGTTATTCCACCCAGCCTTCCGTAGTGCTTGGGGCGCCCAACTCACTCCCGCCTTACTCTTGCACTGATGACTTAACCAGGAGACGTTAATTTTATTTCACCTTCTTCTTTTTTTTTGTTTTTTCTTGACTTGCAGATAAGAGAGTTGGACTTGGATCTGCGCTATGCGATCAACACACACTTGCATGCGGATCACGTGACGGGCACAGGAGCTCTGAAGAAGATGTTTGCTCCCACCTGCCAAAGTGTCATCTCCGCCACCTCGGGGGCGCGAGCCGATGTCCTCTTAAAGGCGGGCGAAGTCCTCGACTGTGGAAACATCCAATTGGAGTGTCGCAGCACTCCAGGTACGTTGGCGCATTTGGAATCCAGTTGGGTAACCACAAGCCTGACAGGCCAAATTATTTGCCCTCTAGTACCATCCCCTCCCATCCAGGCTGTAGAAATTTTCCCATTTGAGGTCTATGCAAATGATTTGTAGTGAAAACCTGAAGCATCTACAGTGCTGTAGGAGATTTTCCCATCATTTTTCTACTCATAATCCTTTGATGTGGTTTCTTGAATGCTTACAAGACTGAGAATAGATTAAATGATAAGACAGGCATGAACAAGTACAGTGAGGACAACATCTAAAAGTGCTCTGTCCTTTGTGTGAGGTCACACCAACGGTTGTTTCACCTACGTGCTTCACTCGGCACGAGCGGCCTTCACAGGCGACGCCTTGCTCATCCGAGGCTGCGGCAGGACGGATCTGGGGCAGGGCTCACCCGAGATCCTCTACGAGTCCGTTCACTCCAAAATATTCTCCCTTCCTGACGACTACTTCCTCTTTCCTGCCCACGAATACTCTGGTCGTATGATGACTACTGTGGGAGAAGAGAAGAAGCACAACACAAGGTCTGGCAACCGAGTTCCTCCATTGAGAGGCTTAATTTTGACTAAAACATTTATTTATATTTATTCAAAGGCAATGAATAAGTGGAGTGGGAGGTCCGAAATAGGCAGTAAATTGGGCTAGTTCCTAGTACAAGTGACAAGCACCTGTTTGTAATTGTTCTATGCTTGCCTGTCCATAGACGAGGTGGTGTGACAACCGATTGTGCTTGGAATCGGACCAACCGAATGCTCATGCCAGTGGGAACTTAGTTGCATTTGTTACTACTTTAGACTCTGCGCGTCGAAGGAGAAATTTGTTGACATTATGCAGAATCTGAATCTTTCTTACCCGAAACAAATGGATCGAGCTGTTCCACTCAACCTCAAGGACGGATGTGAAGACGAGTAACCATCGGTCCAAGATAACACAAACTTTTCGGAATTTTATTAATGCACCAATTTTGTGCTAAGCTTACAAAATGCTAAGTATACTGCTTCATTAGTGCCATCACTTTAATTTACAAATAAAAATAAAGAATGCACGATTGAGAAAGTGTTTGCTTCAAAGCACTGCCTTGTGACTGAATGCTAGCACTCTACTTCATGGTTAAGGTAGGTCTCAGAGAGCAGCATCATTATTTCAGTAAAATTGCCCACTCCTGCGTAGTGCCTCGAATGTCCACCCAAGTTGAAATGAGGCAAAGTAGTGGGGGAGAACGTGCATCGCCAGCGGCGACCTATGTCCACGACGATGTGACTGCACATATAGACGATGGAATGAGTCACTACAGCGAATGGGAAATGGACTGGTAGCTTGAGAATTACGGCATAAATGCACCTAATTCTTAGACTGAATTTCACAAACGACGGAAATACGAGAATCGCCGCCACAGGAGGGTGGTAGAAGCGGGTAAATTAATTACAACTATAGGGTTTGCTAAATGAAATCCTCGTAGAGCCGAACTGAACCCCATTAGAAACAGTGGCTATAATATATCATGATGAAACAGAGCCAAGATATCTCAATAATTGCTATAAATTGACATTTCTCGAGTTCTTCAAACCATTTTGATTCACGTTCTTCCGTGAGCCAACCAAACTTTCAGGACTTAAGTAGCAAATTCGCTTCCACACTGAAATGGCTAGTCAGGACTTCTAATAGACACGAAATATCACCTTACACCAAAGCGGATATCACTTACTAGGTGTAAGTGAGTTATCCGTTCTAGTCTCAAGTTCGCAGGAGTCCACTTAAGCCAGAACAATGTACTTTTTGGCAAATTCACGACATCAATCACACGTAAGATAATTTTTTGCACTAATCCGTTATGCAGTTTGCTTGCGAACATTCAATCCAATTTGTTTAAGTTGTTCGTTTTGCTTGGGTATACACATGCATGATTGGGTAGAGCTTAGGTCAATGGCCCTTTTCTGATTGGCTAATAGTGGAGGTGATATTTCAGTTATTAGATTTGTCCTCATTATATGAAGCACAAGGCAACTCACGAGACTTCCTGATGATAAATCACATGCAGACCCTTCAATAAACCAATTGTTTGAGCATGTTGCGGATTGACGTGGTCTACTTCTGCTGGTTATCTTGTGCATCTATGTGTACAGCAATCTTGGAGCGAAATATTGTCGTTGATTGCCTCTTTTGTCAAAAACTATTTATCACACATGGAGTCGTTCAAGAATCTTAATTTTTAAGGCACTTTCTAGGCAAACTTTCCCTCAGCTTGAGTTGCTACTAATAGATCTTTTACTTACTAGGACTTATTAGACATAAACTGACCCACCAATTTTCCCATCTGTGGCCCAGCAAATCGCCGTGATGGACGGATTTACTTTTTCAGCTTGAGTAATCGAATACGGACCAATCTCTCGTAGTGAATTAATTGCGTGTTGCTCTTGATGTTGATCAGCAGGAGGTGTCCGCCTCCGTCGATCGCTTGCAGACAACTCCAAACTAACAGCTATTCATATCCAACTATCCGCGTAACTGTTTGATTAAGCTCAGTGCAGTTTCTTGAGTATTTAACGAACTAGAAAAGGAGGTGAGAAGAGTGGTGTTGAGCCCTCTTTCCTCATGTCGGGTGATAGGCAGACTGCACCACAGTGTTTTCAACGACAAAGCCACATCAGCGCTTAACATATCCGTTCCGTTGTCAACCTAAGCCTTATCTCATCCACTCATTCTACCTTTTTTCGACTCCTCCTTCCCACTTCTCTCTGCAACTTCTCGAAGCCTCCTTTTATATTCCGCTCAGAATTCGCATTCTTTGTGACCCCATGGTAAAAATTAATGTGAATCCACCAGACGGTATTTTGATAAAGAAAGTACAGCAAATAAAGAGAACTAGAAAGTGCTTATGGCAGTGAATTAGCCCTTACATACGTAATCTACGTTTGGAAGCATGCAAATACCAATCAGGTGGATGTATTCGTGTTGCGGAAAATTCGTCTTATTCTACTTACTATTCTTTATACTAAACTGCAAAATTCCATACTCTAGTTGATATCAGTGAGTCCAAGTGCATCACCACCTCTGGACTTGGGTAGCTGCATTTATTCCCATCTGGTGTTCCCCCTCTAGTGATTATGAATTTTTGCGCAGGCTTGTTGAGGACAAACAGTAGGGCCTCCTCCATAAGTGTTTGAACTACAACTTCTCTGCGTGATGTTCGAGGTTCTGTGCTGGCATCTGTAGATAACAAAATGACCAACTATTCCTAGTTCCTCTATCAGGAATTAAAAATTTGGACAAGTATCGTGCATTAAAAACCACTAGCGATGACTTAATCCAGGAGCAATAATCGAAGGGTCACTGTCACTTTTGGTGTTCCGCAAAAGCGTGTCTTGCCAAAAGGCAATTAGCAATTAAAATGACACCACTTCTAAATTTCATGCAAAATTTGCCTAGGAGGTGCCTGTGACATTTGGAAATAACCTGCGTTTGCTACTGGCACATGCTGAGTCAGCAACAAAGTTAAAAATGAGAGACAAATATGGGACATGGGTTCACAGAAGCCCCTCGGTGTTTTAAATAGACGGTTTAAAAGAAAAAAGAAGGAAAATAAATAGCATTTGTAGTGGACTAACTTCTGTACGCCAGTGGTTTCACGAAGGTATCCGCGCACCTACTCATTTGCGCTTAAGTAGGCAGTCAACAGACAAGTAAAAGGAGAATCTCGTGGAGTTTCGCCGTGGCATGCTGCGATGGCTTGTCACAAATTGACCAGACGTCACTTATCGCCTCTTCACCCTCCTCTATACATCCAGTGCGTGTCGCTGGAGCCCGGTGAATACCAGGTGTGTCCATTCTATGGAAGGAATTACTTGTAGAAGCTTTCAAGCAACGGCATTGGAGAGCAACTACGGAGCGCGCGGAAGAGACACACACCACACGGAAATGGTTAAAAAGGGAGGCACATTCTGGTAGGGAATACATGCTTTCCCTCAGACAGCTAACAACTCCACAATCCATCATTCCACCCATGCGCGGAACAACCTCCTTTTCGACATCTCCCCGTCGGCTTCAACTCCATCGGAAACAGGGGGGACTGGTAAATCAATGGTCGCAAGAGGGTTCTCTTCTCAAGGGGCCAACACAACATAGTTTACTACGTAAAAATAATCCAGTGAGAGTATTTCCCCTCCTCTTCTTCAAAGTGATGCATATCACCTCTTCTTCCCAGCCACGATGACAAAACACTCCTGTCAGGTGTCAAACTTGCACACGGGAGAGAGCGAAACAAGAGAAAAAAGGAAGGAAATGAGGAAAGAGGAAGAACCGACTCAACTTTATTCGCATCAATTACATCTTCCGTGTGTGCGTGTGTGTATGGTTCTCTTTCCACCTCTTTGGAGCAATAAGGAACTACCAAATAGTCCACCTATAAGTATGCCATCTACAAAGTATCAAAAATAGTACACAAATCTTAGCCAATTAAACGTCTGCTCTTCTCTCCTCTGGCTTCCCTGACTATCTTCGCGGTGCCTTGCGTCTGAGGCATTCACCGATGATTTGCACCTCTGCCTCACTGTTCACTGACTCTACCACTTTTTCCTCATCATCCTCCTCCTCCTCCGCCTCCGAATCCGTTTGCTCCGCATCCGGTCCCACCTCCTCAAAAGGTGGGATTTTCGCCTTGCAGCGCCTCTTCGTACTGGTGGAGGTGTATTTCGACGCAGAGGGACAGGTGGGAGCGTTCAGACAGCAGGAGCACTTTGGTCGAGTGGGTAGGCAAATTTTCTGACCGAAACCCACCAGCAGTTGATTCACGTCTGCCCACAGATCGCTGAATGAAGGGATAGAGAGAGACGGGGGGAAATTAGTGTGACAATACAATACACAGCAGTGTCACTTCTTCATGAATGAATAGACAACCCTTTTTCCCCTCTTCAAGTTCACTCACCCACATTTGCAACAATTCTGAAAATTACTAAGGCTTCCTCGACAACTCTTACGCCTTATTTCACGATTACTGCGTCAACCTTCCCAGTCGTCTGTGAATGCACGTACACCAAAACTACGGCTTGGTGATGCCACCCTTCTCAGCACTCCGAATGTAACTCCAATTCCCACGTCTTCAGGAGGAGTAGATGAGTTATGCACAGTCAAGGCGAGGAATCACTAACCGTGGAAGCCAACTCTCCAAAGCGACACGCGTCTCCTCAGGACTCCTTGTCTGTTTGGGCACCCAATGCAATCGGTTGACGATCCGATGAACGTGTGTATCCACTCCGATGCCCGTTACCTGATCCCATGCAAACTTCATGGTGAGATGCGCCATCTTCGGTCCAACGCCTAGCACAAGGAGAAGAGATTAAACCAAAAACTGTGTGCTGCTAGTACATACTACTTAAAATTGAATCTGAAGCCTTACCTGGCAACGCGAGAAGACCTGCTAATGACTTCGGAATGTCGCCATCGTGATCGTCGGTTAAAATTTGTGCAACCCGTTTAATGTTCTTCGCCTTTGTCTGAATACATCCACAAGGTGAAGAGGCGCTCACACATTAACGGTAGAAGTCGAATTAAAGCATCATGAAGTGATAATAAGGAAAATTACCCTGTAAAATGACACGGGTTGAAGGAGTTGAGCCAAATCGGTCTCTGAGATATTGCGCAAAGCGGTGAGATTGGCAACACCACGGTCAATTAGACGAGCCATCGCGCTGGACGTCACCTCGTCTTTCGTCTGTGAGGAGAGCATCAAACCGAGGAGGGTCTGCAATCGGAAGGTCTGTAGAGAAGGGAAAGGAAGCCAATTTAGATGTCACTTCGATGATGACGCTGAGAGTAACAGTGAGAAAAGAAACGTGATTCTCTTCGTTGGCCCATTCATGGATTTCGCAAGCCTTGCATCCGCTTGGCATCGCCTTCAAACCGCTTTTAGGTGATAGGTGAACTCAAGGACAAGGCGACCACATGGGAAAACAGACGCCTTCTCGCCTTTAGAGCACTTCCCCCCCCCCCTCCAACATTCTTGTTAGCACACAAAGACTTCTGGTACAACGGCCATGAACATGACCTCAACCCAGTCCTCACCTATCAAGCGGCTGACACACATTTGTAAGGTCACCCACTAACCGGTTGCTCTAGCTCCAACTGCAGACCCACTAACATGCGGGCGCATTCGCTAGTCGGTCAGTTAAAATTTCATTTTTGCGACAATTTTGATCTTAAACCACACACTGGGGCACATGATCAGAGAAGAGAAGGCTTGGACGACAAAACATACACTACAAAAGCAGCAGCCATACAGAGGAAGGGCGTGCTAATATTTCCAACCTAACTAAATCGCTACCAATTGCTCCTATGTGCCACGTCCCGACATTGCTACTTGAGCCCACGCGTTCCGTATGTGACAGAAAAGCCTTGCCTAAATTTAACCATTTGTAGCGTGTTCAACCGATTAAATAAATTGACTACTGGATTGAGATTATCTTATTTCTATCTATTGGATTTTTGAGGGCCGGTTCTTTGTGTGACACGATTTGGTGCTGTCGCGACTGTCAAACGGATGACAACTACACGTTACATGCACGTGATGAGTGGGCTCGGTTTAGGACGCCTGAAGTAGCGGAACAATTATCTGGGACAATAGACAAATCACTTTTTTAAGCCATCGGATTCCGAAACGCTCATGTTATCACGTCAGTGATGACAAACGTTGAACCGAATCGCATTACTCACAAGGGCCCCTAGGCTATCAGCCCTGAAAGATGTAACTTTCGAATTAATCTTAGACGAATGAACACAGATATTGTACAATCGCCTCCCTTTCATGATGTCGAGTGACCTTAATCGGGGGTTACGACAGTTATCCATATCACTAGGCTACGATACCCGATTAATTTGGGAGGAAATGCATACTTGTGTTCAAAATTTGTTTCCAGATGTTCCTAACTGACCGCAGAAGGCCTGAGCCTTGACCAAAGCGTTAATTTGTGATGAGTAAATATTATTTAGGATGAAAAGGCGATTACCGAGCCGGCAACAGCAGACTCCACGGCAAAAAAGATTTACAAAGTAGAAAACTAAAACCGAAAAATTCCCTAAACAAGTTTATCTCATAGCTAATAGATGAGAATAAGAAACCCGAGATGAAAAAGGCAGATGCAGCTTAATATTCCAAAAAAACGGCGCAAGCATAAGTCAACGCCTCCTATGGAAAAAAGCAAGGATTCCACAACTCAGTGAAGAGCTATTAGGTTTTAACTAGTAGGGTTTAAAAAATAATCCAGAGTTAAAGAAATCAAACCTTGGGATCAACATTTTTATCAGCCAGGGTGTGACAGCCCATTGAGTCGACAGGAGCGTCGGCTTTTTTGCGCATTAACAAGATGTTCTCGAAGGTGGAAAACCAGTCAGGCGGTTGCCAGCAAAGCTCGGAAACCAGATCCTCAATGTCAACTGTTGGAGTCGGGTTGACTCGTCGCCTAGTGCGTTTCATGGTCAGCGAAGTGGTACCGAAATGTCTTCGCAGGCTCAAAACCGGTGTATTGAAACTAAAGTGGTGTCAAAAAGTAGAAATGATTAGGAAAGTAAACGGATATCAGTTAAAAAGTTTCAAATAAAAAAGTACTGCAGTACGACAGTGAAATAAATCTTCGCACAAACCAACAAACATAAGCAGGAAAAGATCAAAATAGAGAAGACGTGGCAACACACAATGCATGATATGTTAGGGATAAAAGAGAAGGTATGAGTAAACACATTTGGAAGTATCTAAATCCGATGAACACAAAAAGGAACGAGAAACCAACTAGGAACCACGAGGCACTCAAGAAATTATCAGGACAACTCACACAATGTGAATCAACGCCGAATATCTCATTAATATAAACAAAGACTTAATGGCTAATTCACCCTAACATTAGCAAACCGTGAACAATAATGGGTTTATGAAGCAAAAAAAAGGTATAACGAAAATGTACAAACTGTTTTAATGCATGTTATTCTTAACAAACTTAATTTCAAACAATTTTTTGGTGAACATGAGCTAAAGTGCAGAAATATTTTAAAGGTTACATTTAGCCACTAACCTTAGGTTACTGCGTGTTTTTCATAATGGAAGACAAATGGCATCTTTTAGGGGACCATTTTCAATGGAGAACTCTAGAATTGACGCCTTAACGCAAATTTTCCCTGGTTCCTTACGCAGGTTGCAGAAATTGGCAAGCGCTTTACTATAAATTTGGGGCACAAACTTACCAAATCACATGCTTTTTATTTTGATTGGTCAGCGCACGGTGCCATACTCTAGAACAAAGCTCCAAAATATGTACATTCGACGAGTCAACCACGTTTGATCAATGATAAAACGATTTTTTGCGGTTAGTCACATACGTTTGGTATCCATATGCCATTTTTTATCTGCCCTTGTTCTTATCCCGCGAAAATCAAAACTAAATTGTCTATTCGTCCCGTCAGTTTCGATTGCTTCTGTGAAACTTCCGGCCATTGATCATTAGGGAACGCAGATAAAATCCAAACTATTGCTAAAGGTGCCCTAGCTTTTGGCATCTATTTAAGATATGGTACTTTTCCTGTAATGGTGGCGCGCAGAAACTCTGAGGAAGACTCCGAAGGAAAATCAGTTCAGGACAGCTCATCTGATACCAGCGAAGAAGACTTGGACTACTTAATCGACAGTGTTTTAGGAAACCTATCCGTTTATCCGTCTAACACCAAAGTAATGACAATCAAAAACCGGAAGGAACGTTCTAAACACGATCGTTCCGAAAAACCTTCCAATGTTGAATCGACTGCCTCGCCTCAAAATGAGTCACATACTTTTGGAGTAAGAAGACATACCTCAGGAAGTCGTGGACAAACGTCATCACGTATTCGTAACCGTCAAAACCGGGGTCACGCATCATCTACAGTCATGAGGCAAAACAGATACGCCTTTGCCCAATATGCAACAGCTGCGGATAGCCGACTTTCTCCTACTTCTGTAAATCGACACTGGTCTAATTCTAATGAACCCACAAAGAATATCCGCGATCGCTTGGTTGAGTGCTCTGAGGTTACTGATCTGGGAACTGGCAATAATAGTGAAGATGAATACGGTCGAGTGTCTGAGAATACTAGTCCGAATTCCTCAAAGGTTGTATATCTCATGTAGAAAATTATTCTCTTTAGTTGGAAGACAATGCTTTAGATCAGATTTTAAAGGAGAAAAAGGGCTGGAAAGTTGTGCGTGTCCATGGCGATGGCGCCTGCTTATTCCGAAGTGTTTGTACGTTCCGTCATTGATGAGTTTATTACCGATTTATTTAGCACACCAGGTTTTTGGTGATGAGGAAAAGCATGATATAATTAGGAAGCAGGTTGTCGATTACATGGTAGGTGTGGGTGGAAGCCCTCTAAATTCATTTTTCCATCCTCTAGTGCAAGAATCGCGAACACTTTTCTCAATACGTAACCGAGGATTTTGATCGCTATCTTCACCGAAAGCGACAACCTAATTGCTTTGGTAACCACCTGGAGATCCAAGCAATATCGGAGCTTTATAATCGACCTGTTGAAATCTACTACAACAATGTTGTTCCTATCAATGTTTTTCACGCCGAGTACTCGCATGACGTCCCAATTAGACTGGGTTACTACGGTCGAACGCATTACAACTCGATCATTGACCCTTGCAAACCGTCATTTGGTCATGGGTTGGGCATGCCTAACTACCAACCTGGGGTAACGCTATCTCTTTCTCCCCCGTCCTTACGTGTAACTTTAGCTGCCCGAAAAGGATCTTGTCAAGCAGGCAATTCGAGAATCGGAGACTAGTGAGTTGGAAGAAGCCATGCTGAGGGATAAGTTGGCTGAATCGGAGAACAAACAACTGGAGGACTGTATTGCTGAACACGTTTTGCGTGAATCCCTCTACGAACACATGAAGGCTCGATTAGATGGGCAGGTACTTCGACGGAGTTTAAAGCATATTTTCTTTTAACAACTAAGTGATACCTTAAAACAACAATCGGGGACAGTGATTGGAGTTCGAAATAGGTCCTACTTGTTTTTCGGTGAGAGGATGAATTAATTGAGATACACTCGTTAAATTGTTGTTTAAGTTGTTTACATTTAATCTTGGGACATTTAGTCGCTCCTTTTGTCGATTGCAAGACTCTGAAATTCCATTCCGTATGTCTTGCTAGAGGCCTTGCAGTAGTTGATCATTTTGCTTAAATGTAGTAGGTTCCAATCATTCAGATCCTCTCTGAATAAATAATCGGTGTTTTTGTTTATTCTGAATGAGCGAGATTAGTACCGTTTCCGGTAAGAACCAGTAAACTTTGATGTATTTGCATTTAGGGGAGAAGTTAATTCATACACTTCAGGTGATCAGGAAGTAGGATGAAATGTGCTTAATTCCACGAGATCCTGAGGCATTTTTGATAGCCCGTAATTCTGTCCTGGCGAAGGGTGCTGAATGCTTAACAATGCGATGTAAACATCTATTGTTGCTACTTCTAGGCAGCCGAGCGTCAACGAATGGCCTCGCCTCCTCAGTCTGTGTCCCCAGGGTTGCGGGAATCAACTCCCCCACCACTGTCTACCTCCAATCTAGTACCTTCATCGACATCTGCCTCCCAAGTGCCCTGTTCCTCCTCTTGTTCCTCTGCACTTCCCTCCTCCTCAACCTCTATCAAGCCCTCTTCCTCTAATACCGTCGTTGATGTTCCTGGTTCTGCTGCCACCTTGACGGCTGCTGCCGCTTCTGTCGCTGCTGCTTCCGCTTCCTCCGACCCGGCTGCCAGTGACTTCGCAGTGCTTCGATACATCCCTGCTAACATGCTGGGTGAGTCCTTGCCTTCGGCCAATTGGTTTAAGGTGGTAGTCCCAAATACTAGTTGGTAATTAATTCAGCCATCAACCACGCCCCACCTGGAAGTAATGGAGTGTAAACAGACCTCATTAATTCCCTCCCATCTTTTTTGACTTTGGTTTTTCTTGTCTTATTGATGTCCTTCTCGTAAATGTTAAATCACGCATTGGTAGCTAGTTTTTTTTTTTCATTTTACTCCATGTGACAACAGGACGCTCGGCTAGCATGATTCTCACCACCTTCACGTTCTACTCCATCGGTTTTTTCGTAAAGGCTTCATTTGTTCTCTTTTTTCCTCCCTCACCTACTCTCACCACCGTTTTTGGTGGGTTCTGTGCTAATTCCACTTCCCCTTCGCTCATCTTGCAAACGCCACGTGACCAAGCGGTGATTGTTCTGGAAGAAGTTTAAGCCCTTTTCAGCCTATTATTAGCAACTTCATTTCTTGTCAAGGCAGCCAATTAACTGCCCTGGGGCTGCATTGGATAAGGGGTTAGCTCTCCGGTGAAAGTAGCCTTAATAAAGATTGTGTTATGCACATAATTATCCTTTTTCCACGCTTCTTAGGGGAGTTATTCCTCCCGGACAAAAGAAGGAGAAAGAGCGAATGAGGCATGATGCACCGTGTAACGGCTGTGTGCGAGACTCCTTATTTTGTTCCCCTAAAAATAACCTCACCCCTCCCGTATCCACCCACTTTTCTTGTATTGCATAAATTTTTGATTTGTCTAATAGCAATGGAGTCAACTTTTATTCACTTATCCAACTTCAGACATGAGCGACGACGATGTGCTAGCGATGGTCTTAGAGCAATCTCGAAGCGAGTACATTGAGGGTCTGCGCGCGGCCTACCGGGGCGAAGATGACGATTTCGAGGAGCGTGGACGTCCCACCGCGCAGTCTTACTTCCGTCAGAACTTGGAACCCTCTCAGCCATCTGCTGCATTATCAAAGGACTATTCTAGCGGTAGTGGCGGTTGCGGTGGTAGTGACGATCCCAATCGTGACGTTAGAAGCTAGTCTTTCTGTGTACATAGGGTGAAAAGTGATCCCTGCTTAAAAGTGGTGTGGCCTTCCCATAAGGGTGCCATCACAGTTCTTCTCTCACGCTTATCCCTTTGAGTCCCGAATTCACCCTCTTGCAACTTTATTCAATTATTTTGTTGTGTTGCTGACTCATGGCAGGGTGACGGGGTGGCTTCAATTTTACGTGAGTATAATGATATCGATTTGAATTAGTAATGAAGGGGGCAGCACCTACTGTTGGGCAAGGCTAATAGTTCATTGCTTAATAAGTCTAGGCGAGGATGTCATACTCATTTCCCACAGTCTGTTCTAGGACCAAAATTGTGTATATGCTAACATTCCTCAAAATTACTTAAAGGACTAGTAGGGGTTAGGAAGCCCAAAAATAACGTAAAAAATTTTAACTTTAAATATAGTTGGTGGAAGAGTAAGTACGCAATTATATGTCAAATCAAACCACAATGCATTTGTTTACTTGTTAAGGTCAAACATTTTAATCAATCTTCATTTGTCGCGCTCGTTTCGAGGCTTCGCGCAGGTTATGAGTTCTTCTCCGTTGGATAACTGTAGAGAAGAGATACAGCAGTTAAGAAACTCCTTGAAGGAGGCTTTACGTGAGAAATATGAAGCTGCGCAGTGCGGATTAAAGCTACTTGAGGAAAAGGAAAGCTTGCAGGCAAAACTTGATGAGTCTGAAGAACTTCTTGAACAACTCAGAAGGGAGCTACAGTTAACTCAGGAGGTAACGCATGATTTTACGACACATTCCCCTAGAAATGTGATGAACAAAATGAACTTCATAGAAAGATGAACCGGGTGGGCTTCCAGGAGGAGGATGACCTCCTCAGTCGATCGGCCAATCGTGAAGAACAACTTTCGGGTCGCATTAGAGACCTTGAGCACGACTTAAAAAGTACCAAAGCAAAATACGAACGCCAAATGGCTGAAAATGACAAATTGCATCAAATGATGCAGGAAATTCAGGCTAAATATGATAGTGTTGAGAAAACTCGACTTGAACTTAAACAGGAGATAAAAGCAATGAAGGTCGTAGAAACGCGATTGCTTAGTGAGTTGGATGAACTGGAGTCAGAGAATTTGGAATTACAGAAGAATGTCTTGGCGCTGAAGACTAGTCAGGTTTGTACTCTCATTACTTATAATAATCTGCTTAGATTGAGTTTGAGAGTCTTAAGCATGAGCTGAAACGAGGCCAGGAGGAAAACGATCAAATGCACGTTTTACTAGAGGAAGTCACTCGGCTGAAAAGAATCACAGAGAAGTCGTTAGAGGAGGCCTTAGAGTCACTTCAAATCGAAAGGGAACAACGGCACAACTTAAAAAAGGAGCTTGATAGCCGTCTGGCTTATGAGTCGTTCTATCATCTTAATTCAATCCAAAATGGTCTCGCACAGTCTGCTCAATTACAATTATTCAATACATCAGAGTCATTGGAGCACTCAAATTCCAGTAGGTTTCAGTAGGAGCTTAATTTATGCATCATTATATATTCGTGCATGTGTACGTGCAAAAGCGCCTTGATTTTTTGTGCTTATAGGTGTCAATATTGCGCACAAAGGAGATGACTTGTTTTCTGAACTAAAGCTGAGTGAATCCACTCAGCTGAAAGCCGAGATGACGGAGCTTCAGCACAAGTTGGAAGAGGCACAGAGGTCCGCAGAACTTGCCTCTAGTGAGGTGAATTCAAAACAGGAGCGTATCAACCAGTTGCAGAATGAGCTCGATCTAGTCATGGGTGTACAACGTCGCGCCGACAATGAATTCGAGTCCAACGCGAATTCTGATGGCACTGATGCTGCCGCTACCACTGGTGGTGAAGAAGACTCAGCCTCTGCAGGACTGAAACGAACTCTTAGACAAACAGAGACTCGCTACTCTGTTGCCCTCCGACAAATTGCTAGCATGCAACACGAGTTGTGGCGTTATCAGGAGCTGGAGAAGGTGAACGCCGACCCGGCGTTGGCCGACGAAGAAGGATTAAAAGCAGAGGTTCTGCGGCTTCGCAAGGAGCTGGAGTGCCGAGCGGAGGAGATAAAGCACCTGGAGGAGCGGGTTGATAATGGTGCAGAGGAAGCGCAGCAGGCTGGGCTGAAAACGGCCGTTGTCTCAGTTTGTCTACGACGCGGTTTCGCCGACCTTCTCAAACTCTACATGCTCGTCTGTTCGGAGTTGAAGGAGACGCCATCAAAACAGGTAGGTGGCAGTGTCAAATTGGCTTTAAATGCGTTTTTGTGTTCCCCGTTTTTAGGTATTTCATTTATTTTGTGCGTGCTTGGGAGGGTAGACAGGAAAACCAGACCGATGGGTCTGTAGGAAGGGGGCTGATCTATTCTTCTAGTTAGATATTTAATGGTAGAGTTTATTGCCTCTGTAATTTAGCTCCCTGATTCCGCAATACCTGGGTTAGTAGATTGTGGGAGATGTTTGCTTTTGGTTAATTTTCCGTCTTCCTCTGCCCACCACACTTTGCGAATGGAAGTAGATTCTTTTCATCTAAAACTATGAAGAATGCCCTTTATCCCTACATGGAATGGGGTGCTTTAAATAGTACCAACATGTTGCATGGGCTGTGCTTTTTTGTTTACTCTGTGATCAAGGCAATTTGACCGAAGCGTGCACTTGGCTTCCACGTTGCCTGTTTCCAAGCACGCACAATCCTGAAGCAGCAAAATCAAGAGAATTGAGGTTTTCCTTATCTTTCCCGAGAAATAGAGCTGTCTTTTTTGCTTACTTGGATATGAAAAGTAATAAAATTTCCCGTTTCGTGTGGTATTTTATTCTCATGGTTTGAGTGTGTGTGCATGTGCATATAACTCGATGGGAGGCCATTATAAGTTCACTCGGAGGAGAGGCACTTGCGACCCATCTCATTTCACATGACACAGGGTGCCACTTCATCTCGGTTCTTTCCCTTTTCGCTCCCACTTACTTCACTGGAGAAAGATCTTTCTGGATCATCTGTAGTCTTTACGATTTTGTCTTTTTGGAATAACAAGTTCCAGATGAACTTGGACAGTAACGGAAAATACTAGTGGAAAGTCTGTTTTGCCATGCGAGGGTGTAGCTAGCCAATGCCACCTCAAGAGAATATCCCTTCATCAGGGGGTTCCAGTTTCTCCAGAACTGTTGTTTACTGAAGGTTTCTATCAAGCGTACACCCTTCTCTCTTCATGGTTCAATCGCCTTCCACTTTGAATGTTCCCCTCTAATGAATAGCTCGTTCACTTCTGCCTTTGAACCTGTCTTTTGTCCCTCCATATTTGTTTGAGTCTCTTCCTATTCTGTTTACAGGTCTGCGAGCTAGCCGCTCGTGCCAGTGTTTCTCTGGACGCCAACGCGTCTACCGATGATTCCACAGCTTCTGATCCTACTGTGGATGCTTCAGCCGCCGGCACAGCAGTGTCCACATCTCCGACTTCCACGGAGCAGGTCAGTCCAGAGATGCTGGCAAAGCAAGTGGAAGATCACATAGCTATTGTGAGTCATCTGCGTCGCGCTGTGCAGATGTACGCGGAGAAGAACGCTCGTCTTGCTCAAAATGTGAGTTTTAAAGTCTTTGTATGTCTGTCTGTGATGGGGAAAAGGGTGTGGTCTGCTGTCATTTCCTTGCACACCAATGCGATTGGACTTGCTCTACCCTCAAACCAGCCTGCATCATCCTGCAGCCCTTTCCTCATGGATGACAAATTTTACCACGCCTACGCTTCTTCTACGCCATAGCAGCGGTGGTGTGATTTTTTATTTATTGTGTATTTACTTACTCGTTCTGAGTCACAGCCCGAAATCAGTCGGTGCGTTCACGTGTGTGGTAAATTCCATCACCTCGTCATCTATTGGCTACTTTTTACTTTCTCTCTGCTATCGCCCTTAGCAACGATGTTCTGTTGCGCGGTTACGTTTATTGGCGTAGCGCCCAAATTAATTCTAGAAACAGAAGTACAGTAGGGCTAGCTGCAGAGCCATATGGTAGCATTAGGCAGTCGGCTGTGCTCGACAGAGGGAATGTTCCCCTCACCTTTTTGCCCTTTTTAATGTGGTCCTATCGCCTGTCGGAGTTAGTCCCAATTCCCTTGTGTCGTAAGGACACGACTTGGTGTCATCATTTACTGTAAACTAATAACGCAGTATTGAATTAGCTAAATTGGGGCAGGTTTTGGTTGCCAACATTCTGGTACCTCAAGTCATTGATGCAGCGGCGTGTGGCGTTGGAAGCGTTCCTACCATCGGTGTGCAGGTCGAACTGAGTATTTCCTTGGCGGCTTTTAACTGTCCATCGGACAGAAACCTACTTCAAGCTGGCTTGATCGATAGACAGAAGTTGGTAGCCAGGGGCGTCGGCCTAGTATAGACACGAAAACAAAGACGAACACCCATTCGCGTACGCAGGTTTGCACACTCTACTACGCACACGTAATCACACGCGGTAAAAACAGGTATTCTTGCCCATACAGCTCCGTTGCTGTTTTGTGTGACTGGACCTTCTCCTTGTGATGGCTAGCAGGTAAGACGTTTGAATGATTGGCGTAGTTGTTTCAAAAGCAACCGATTGGACGTCTGTCGGCACCGATTCCGTCCAGCTAGACTCAGCCTGCGCGCGAAACGCCCGGTTAAATTGTGAAGGAGGCGCATCCAGGTTACCATTACACACCTGCAGTCTGTTCTAGGTTGATTCACTCGTTCTGCATCGAAGTTCTATCCAGGATTGTATAAATGTAGTAAAGGGCCAATCGCCTGTCCAGAGCATCTGGAATTTGGGCTTTGTGATTAGACACTAGTCTTATAATCCTCGAATTCTGATTGGTTAGTTGTCATCTTTAGGCCACCAATGGGAGCTCGAAGCGGACGGACGAGGCAGTGGAGGAGTTGCAAGCGGAGATTTTGCAATTACGTAGTAAATTGTCCATCAAGCGCGAGCAGGTGGCCTCGCTGCGCAGTGTTCTTAAGAAGAACAAATCGGTGGCGGAGACGGCATTGGCCAACTTAAAGCAGAAGTATGAGAATGAGAAGGCCATTGTTACGGATACGCTGCGCGCTCTGCGCAGTGAGTTGAAGATGCTGAAGGAGGACGCCTTCACGTACACCTCTATTCGGGCGATGTTCACGGAGAAGCATGAGGAGTTTGTGCAGCAGATGGATCAGTTGCAGCAGAAATTGAATGTGCGTTTAACCTTTTTCCCACCATTCAGATCTTGCATACGAGAATTTAAGTGGTAGGAACTGAAATAACCATTCCGTATTTGATTTGGGGCATCTCTTCTTGCCAATAAATCCGCCTTACCTTCCTGTATCCGTAAATCCGTCTGTCCACCCACCCAACCACCCTGCACAAATTCATTCATCCATCTACTATTTCAACGATCATTGAACAGAGCTTAGAAATATCTTCATGAATTGAGTAGCCAGCAATATGAAGTAACCTTTCCCTTCCTCTCTCCTTTTTACTTCCTTTTTTTTTTCAATTGAAGATTTATTAGCTTGCTAAGAGTAGGAAGAAAGGTCCTGGCGGTGACTTTGATATACTCCTTTTCCGAATCCAAAATAAAAAACAGCCTGCAGTGCTAGTCGTGTATCCTCTTTTCAATTCCCTCCCAGCTTGTTATGCAACCGTAACTACCGCCCACCTTTTGTTTATTCTGTCAGACTTGGGCGATCTTTTCACTTTTTTTGCAAATTAAACAAAAACATTCCCGTTGGAAGCATTTTTCTATTTAATTATTAACTGATTGGTTCATCACCTGACCAATCATACCTTTGTCCTTTCCAGAAAGCCGAAGAGGAAAAGAGGACACTCAATTCCATCCTCCGATTGGCTATTCAACAGAAACTTAACCTTACTCAGCAACTTGAAGCCTTAGAAATGGAACGCCTTGCTGCCAATCCCGCCTCTGCTCGTATGGCCGCGGAGGCAGCTCCTGTAATTCCAAAATTATGTATTGTTTTGTCCCACCATAAACCGGGGGTGGTGGTGTGCGTCTTCTCGGAATTTTATTGGTTGTGAATGTCCATGAGGCGACTCCAAAGTGCACACTTATTGGCTACCCTTTGACCTTGTAGACTACTGTCCACGTGGAGTGTGTCCACAGAGCAGCGTCTCTGGGCAGCAACCCTGTGGCAGATTTGTAGCCTCGCGAGTACGTAGCACCGCTTTTCGTCGCGCATGTTCCCCCCCCCCCCTGTATTTACTCTGCATGACGCCATCCAAGACTGCTTCTGGTGGCGCAAGCATGGTGTCGTTAGGTTTGAAGCCTCCGGCTTCAATCAGAATCACAGGCCCTTTCGCCTCCGATTACGGCTGTTTTTTTGCTAACTCTGCTCTAGAGCACCCATTAACCCGTCTTTCTGAGATCCTCACGTACCTTTGAAAAGTAGCGCTGTACAACTGCGCAATTAGACTCTGTTTGTAACGAAGTGGAGTATCTTAAGTAGGCTTTTCAACCCCAGAAGCTATCTGAAGCCGGACTAATGCGCAGTGATTTGCGTAATTTGGTGAGTCCAGGTTGATGACCCTTCTCGACCTTCTTGTCTCTCGTGTCTGATGCCTTCTAATCAGCGGAAGCTGTCTCCTGCACCACGCCTTTTTATAGCAATGCCAACCCTCCCCCTCCCTTGATCCTTCTGGCCATGATATTCACGTGTAACACCTACCGGTAATCCGAGTGGTCTTTCCTCAGGCCGCTTGGCCTACTTATAATCCCCTACTTAGTAGTATATGCTAGGGAACTGGGATAAAATTGACTGTAAGTTGCGTCTTCAGACGTGAATTCTAGGGGGCGATTGCATTGGCAGTCCATCCAAAGTCGGTTGGCAGCAGTATGAACCCAGGATAAGAGGTTCCGATTAATTGGGTTGCCAATTTACAGCACGTCTACTGAAATGGCAAATTAATAGCGTGCGCGAGTGTGCGTGCTGGGTGAGCCTACTCATATGTGCTTATAAGTAGCAGCACTTGATTGCGCTATGATGTCGGGGAGTATTCGATGAGGCAGGATTAAGTTGGCAGCATGATGATGATGACCTACTACCTTCTCAAGTGCCTGACCAGTGGAATGCGTACTTACGCACTGCGTCCGCGTTTATTTTTTTCAGCAACTGCGTCTCTACGCTGGAGTAGATCCTACCACCGGGGTCACTACCGCACCACCGATTTTCACACCTGCTGCCGCCGCCGCAACCCCGCAGGCGGCTCCACAAACGCCGTTGGTATCCCCTCCGCCAACCGCTCCGTGGCTGCACGCTGCCCCCCAGCTCCATTGCCCCCCTCATCCCGTTGCCGCGGCCGCAACTGCTTTCAATTTCGCCACCGCTGCAAGCCCTCGAACCCCCGTGACACAGCCTCCAGTCTTCCCTTCTCCTGTCACTGCTCCGCATCTACTTAAAGTCAATAACAGCAATGTAGTTGAGTCTATGCTTGTTGTGATTTGACAAGTTGCGCAGCCGACGTTTTTTTCTCACACAAGCGGCTTAATTTGCCTCCCTTTGTTCAGCGTCCACAGGTTCGGCCGAGGCGTCAACAGAACGACGTAGAGTAGCTGCTCTGTAGACGCGAGGTCGTTGTTGCGCATCTCGTCTCGCCACTTCACGTCACGTCTCTTCTGCTCGCGCGAGGGCAGTTGATTCTCGCTCCCTAGGTTTATTCCACTTTCGTCCACATCACCGCGTGTCGCATCTTACCCCGATTTCGATCACTCTCTCATCCCCCTGCCTCCTCCTCCTCCTCGTCTTTTTCTTGGCATCTTCTCAGTTGTACATTGACTTCAGTGATACCTGCATATACACAGTTCAATCTACTTACTCTGCAACTTGGATTGTTCCCCTTCTCTCCTGGTTTTTCGTGGAAGTGGCAATCTCCGGAGGGAGAGGAAGGGATATGTCATTTTTAGAGGCATCTCAAGCGCTGTCAATACTGATGGGAAAGTCAAAGAGGTGTAGGTCTTGTGGGTTATTCAGGTCGAAATAGGAATGCTGTCATGGTTGCTCTATGCGTGGAAATGAGTGACAAGTGAAATGCGGTGCCGGGGTGGGTCATGTCCCCACATCACCCATAGGAAGGGAGGGGGGGGGGGGAGATGGCAGACGAGGGTGATAAAGGCACGGGAATTGGTGTCGGTGGTGGTGGGTTCTGGTTGGTGGTCTCAGCTGGCAATACAATGAAAACGGCGTGTGGGTCTGGGCGCTGTTTAAATGACCTTCCAGGTTGGTTCGCCTATGCAGAACAAAAATTTTCCAATGTTTACGATTTCCAAATGGCGAGAAAAAGTTCGGAAGTCCCAGTTTGATAAAAGCACTGTCTACAGAAAGAAACAAAAAACTAAGATGCAGTAATTCCTTCTCTGGATGATTGCAGTGCTAGAGGCACCGAGCACATAGAGGAAATTGTAAAAATTCCTGCGAAGTAATGGAGAGAGAAGAGGGCGTGTGATTGCACGACTGTATGCGGGGAGCAAGGGTTTCATTAACACGCATTTGTGACCTTTTGATTGGCTCTGATATTGGAGAGAGGAACGAGGTCCCACGGTTCGGTTCTTAAGCGTTATTCAACACTTAAGAATACAAAGCAATAGAGGATCAGAATATGATGGGTTTGTGGAGAGTTTCAAGGTTTCCATCATTGGAGAACTAGGATGATAAGAGATGGAACAGTCGACACTTCGTAGGAGGGCATCATGACAGATAACAATACATTAATGAAAGGAAAGGAATCAACACTCGACAGAAGTAGTAAAGTAGTGGTGGAAGAAGGCCTTGAGAGATTGATGAAAAGAGTGATCCACACTTCTTTATCCACAAGCATTGCGGATTGGGAGGACGGCGGAATAGCTTCACTACTAAGTAGGACTATGGGCATCCACCATCATGTCAACAGCATGAATCCCTTCTCATACCATCTATGCCACCTTGAAGACGATGATATTTTGAATCGTCGCACTAAATCCTCATCACATCAGCCCATTCATCCCGTCCACTCGATTGATGGGACACCAGGATTCCACTGCATCAAGGCAAAGTACCACAGACAATTGGAACGGATCCTCTGAACAGAAGACTGACTTCATCCCTCACCTGCCTAATGTGTGTCAAGGAGACACAGATCACACTTATCACTGAGGTTAGGGGAGAACAGAAAAAGCCAACAATCGTTGTATCAAGAAGTCGTGTCTGTTGCAGTCATTCTTCGTGTAGAAGCAGTGTACGATATCGGCTTCTTTGTTGGGATATCTGAAGGGAAAACTAAAAAGAAAAGAAAAACCGAACCAGCAGTCAATTCAATCCACTGCTTCCTCCAACTGACAACAATACGGCGTGCTGTTACATTCAGTGAACTTAATGAACAATGCTCTGGGTCTTCCATCCCATGGTGCAGCCCAATTGTCTTCCAACATTGGCTCTACAAATAAACACTAAGTAATTCCAGCCTACACTAGGTCTTCCAACTTGCCTCCAGCGAATCCACCCGACTCGTCCCTGCAATTAACACTGGCTGTCAGACGTTCGAATAGGGCACAAGGCAGCCACCTGATGATCCCTTACACAGCATCTTCCAAAATAGCAACAACGCTGACGATTTCGGTGGGAGAGAGAGAAGACCAACAGCGTCAGTGAAAAATGGACCACCACAACGCAACTCTTCTATTGTACCCATAGGAGAGGAGATGTATTGTGGTTTAAGATCCCACTTCTTCCATGATCACTATTTCAAGATTCATTTTCGTTAAACCTTCCATTATGTGCGTGTGGGGGAAAGGGTTGTACGCACGTCCTTTCGCCAAATGCAGAGACGACCATGCTGCAAACATTGTCTGCAAGTTCACCTTCAATTCAAAAAATACAGCGCATGCGATTGGGGAACAATGGATGCCCTGAATCCTCCAACACATGTCCTCCATTGCTGCAGACATGATCGGCTTAACCAATCCACACACCTTGGCGTCGAAGTCACCGACTACTCCTCGTCCAATGAGTAGAGAACGGCAGAGTGAGGTGATAGGACATCCAGATATCAGAAGAAAAAGATTTGTCTGGTTAGTAGAAACTATGCAGTGACCATTCCCTCTGCATCACACAACCCAAGCAGCGGTCATGAGCATTCATAGCTGTTATCACAACTGTCACATCAAAAAGATGAGCAGGCAATTCATTTCACATCCATAGATGAACACCTGATGCACCGCAGCAATATCAAGTGGTGAATAATGAATAAGGAATGGAAATGAGTCTTATCACTCACCTACTCGTTACTTGCTCTACATACACGTAGAAGCTGCACTAAAAGGGAAGAAGAAGGAATGGTGGAAGGATGCAGAAATCGAGCAACCAGATGCCCCACAACGTAGAGGGAAGGGGCTGAAAAAATTGCGAAAATGACCATGGCAAGCTAACCATAAAATCGGCAAATGGCGCCCTTCAGCTGGTATTTTCACTTGGCCAAATACATCACAGTTTCCGTGAAATTAATGTTGTATGCAAATTCAATGATTTTTTAACCATCACAGAACAGCAAATACTCTGTGGCATTTCACCTCGCTCCAACAACAAACTAGTACCTGACCATGAAGATGGTTTGTAGCTAGAACAATCCAGCTCAAGACGCCTTCGCACCGCCTTTATTCACGAGTGATAAGGCTTCCTAAAGAATTAAATAATTTTAAAAGCACCAACCACCGCCACAACACACCTGTTTAAAACAAACTGACAAACGCATACAGCATGACCTCCACACGACACAAGGCAAACTTAACGCAAAGCACCCACGCCTGCATTTACTTCAGGCCCAAACTATTATATCATGGCAGACAAAAGCCCACGAATAGAAGAAGGGTCGAGAGCCCAACAAAGATTCCCGCAACGACGCACTGTTACATCACCTACCATACATGGGGTGAAAAAAATCGCTCGCGTCGCAAAATTCACACATAATTACAATTTGCATTGGCAGACGACCATAAAAAAAGCACTCGAAATACCCGATCACAATACAATGTAGGTGCGAGAAGCATTGTTTCAACAGAATAAATTCAAGTGATACAAGTAAAGGTTCAAAGAAACGACAAAAGTGTATCCATTCCACATCCAACTATGAAACAACGTCTTCTAGTCTACAGATAGCCAAAAATTCATTAAAAAAAATGCAATCTCTCATCCCCTACATCTGTGAGTCGAATCAAAATACTACCTTCAAGAAGGCGTCAATAACAGCGTTCGGTAGGCAGTCAACTGGCAAGAGAAGGTAGGCAAGTGAGAATGCCGGTGAACACGTGACGCATACGATGGCACTGCACATAGTCATCAATGCCACATTTGTCCCGTCACCGCTTCCAACAACCAGCAAGACTAACCACCCCTAAGGCGCAAGGCGAAGGGGCTAATGAGGGCATGAAACAGCGCATCGCGATACACGAAGCGCCACCACACCAAAACCATATGACCTGCGAACACTCGCATCTGGCAGAGACATCAACCAAACTTCGGTGAGGGGACGATGAAACACCCGGCAGTGAATCATCCTTATTCCATAATGCCTCCAAAGGTGACTGAACACACGACCCCATGCCACTGCAGGCCATGAACGAAGTAACCGCCTCCTCAGTACCCTACATCTCAAAGCATTCCGATGAATATGGACATTCACACGAACGTCTCTCACCTGACGTCCTACAGTTCGCGGTATCACATCCCACAAAACAGGAGACAACACTACGACTCTAACCAACTTGAAGCTCTCAATCGCGGATTGATGACCACACTGTGCATCGCAAAACAATGATTGACCAGAGAGACAGACAGACAGACAGACAGAAGCACCCACGCAAGCGCGTGGAGGAATAAGCAACTAACCATCTAGTTGGGAATGGATGAGTGAAATATGGAAATAGAAATGCGCCATTCATTGCAGTGCTTGTCAATCCACGCCAACTGAAATGCGATTCCATTTTCCCACATTCCGCAGATGCACGCCACACACCCCTCTCCACGAATAGAGAAACTGGATAACGTGAATACTACTGATTCAGTAGCGAGTACCACACGAGCTCACGTGTGGTGTCAACCCACGGAAAGCAGGCGGAAAGATGCCACTCGAGGCATCCGACCCGCCGACACAAAGACATCTCACCAAAACGGAAGAAACGCAAAAACACCAATCACCTCAACGATTTGAAACCTGATTCATTGAGGCTACTAACGCAAACACGAACACCAACTCAAAACATTTAACCAAATCAACACTTCTCCGCCCTTCCCTGACACCCACCCCAGGCACACAATGAAACCAAGGAGAACCATATACACACAAATCACGTAAAACACTACTACAACAATCAATCACCAATTCATGTAAGCAAAACGAACAACCAACCACCACAAACCACGCCGCCCTGGCCAAAAACAACCAAGAGGAAGAACAACAACAACAGCAATGTATTTCCCGAGAAACTGACAAAAACACTATTAAACGCCACTAATGCAAAAACAACCACATTTTAAACCACAAAAAACTGAAAATAAACATAAATGTATAAGAAAGCACCCAACCTGAATGCGCCATACTGAACTACGCTACACCGAGGTGTAGCTCGCACGGACGCATCCACACAGACGCCAATCACCTCCTCTCCCCACTTCGCCCCTCCTTCGTTCCACCAACTCCACAAATTAAAACACGAATGCACGGAGAGATGGCACGAGAAGGCATAGGGACAGAGGCCGTGATTAATGCGAATGTGTCTCAGATACGGCCGCACTCCTCACTTTACCGACCCATTCTCGGTGGGATGGAGGGCTGAGTGGACCCTGGCAGTTTCACCAAGCAGAACGCCAAATAAAGATAAGCAAAACCGCCGATACCGATGACACAGCACCCTCCCAACCAATCAATGGGAGGAAGGGTGCCATTTATTATTACCGCCTTACTCTCTCAAACAAACAGTCGCTGCAACAAGGGTAGAGGGATGTAAACAGAAAACGTCTACTCAGGCACCGCGATTTCCCCAGAATTGATCTTCTCAATCACTGCCTGCGGTGTCTCCCCGTCGATGGAGCAGCCGATAGAACGCGCAGTGCCTGCACACCACAAAGAGCAATTTCATTCGATCCCAATCAGTAGCGCGAAGACGCAAAGGATGACCAAGGGGACAGCAGAAGGGAGGAAAGAAAAAGGCAATTAGGCAAACACGCAGAGACGTAGTAGTGGTATTGGCACCCGTCAAAGCGAGTGAGGGAAGGGGAGATAAAGGGAAAGACTCACCCAACACTTCTTTCACGGTGCCTGCAAGATCTCGGGCCAGTGAGCGCGGCCGCATGATGCGCGCCACCTCAAGGACGTCAAGGAAGGTGATGCTGCCATTGTGCTTTATGTTCTTCACTTTCTTTCGATCGCGCACCGGCTCCTTCAATGCTTTAATCAGCAACGCCGAGGTGGTGGGCACAAATGATACAGTTGCTTGCCGGTTCTGGATGGTCAACTTCACCGTCAGTCGGAGACCCTTCATATCCGCCGTCTCCTTGGCGATGTCCTCCGCCACCTTCTTGGGCGGCAGACCTAACGGACCCAGTTTGGGCGCCAGCGCCGACGTTGC